GATTCCCTAACTGATTTTGTCCATAAATCATCATCTCTTTTCTTAGGATTTACATATCTTATTAGGACTGATTAACCTAGTTCGATCAGTTCCAACTATACTACATGTAAACTTAGAGTACATGGAAAAGAAAACATTCCTCTATTTACGCACCTGTTTTCCTCTTCTTGTCCGTGTTCACTATCAAAGGTGTCCATTCCATATAAATTAAGTACTTAACTAGTTTTGATAAGATAGTTCCACATATCTGACATTCGGGACATCCTGTGTGAAGTCAAATCAATCCGATGATTACGTATATACAAATCAATAAAGCCACGCTACAATCAGAGTAAAAATTACGTGCTACTATCTATTACACAAGATGAACCACACCATAATCAGTAAATTCGACCGGAATTAACGATGTATACTATCTGTCCTCTACTGGTTACTGTAATAGCGTTTTAGTGCGCTACCAACCGCTATGAGACATGCAATCCAGGAATTCTTTAACTCATAGATGCAACACTTGATCCAGGTTATTACATCCGCGTTCAATGTGACTTACCGAGTCCGTACTAACCTAATAATCATACATTGATTATTCGTATTTTCTAGTCGGATAATATCTTGTTGAAGAGGCGAGATCCCCACGGGACTTTCCACTTTTCTCTAACAATGGTACTATTGTGTTTATGTCTTGTGACAAGACGATTTATCCAACTACTTGTGCATAGTCCCATCTGATGTATTGAATTGCAAAAATTTATCTATCTTAGGATCGTACTCCGTTAGTTTTATGCTATTGCGAAATGTCATAGCATTGACACCATTGAATGTCTCATCCTCAGCGACTAGTACATGTCTACACTCAAAGTACTATTTGTCATCCCATCGTTCTAGTCTCAACGTGTTCCATTAGCAATTACAACATTCTAATCACATTCGTCTTCCATCGTGATCTAATTACATCGATGATTACTTTTACTTAATAATTATTGTATTATTTTCATATTTTCAGTGAACAGGAGTATTGGTGCAGAAATAAACCTTGTACCTACGTACGTCAGAAAGGTAAGTCCTAACATAGTACTTCTAAAATTGTATATGCGTATCCGTATTGAAGTTATTCTATTTATGATCTAAAGGGCTAATTTATTACATTTACTATTTACATAGTCAGTTGGTGTATATATTCTAGGCGTGCAGTCAGTGTAAATATTCTAGGTGTGTTATATCAGTAGAAATCCTATTTCAGGACATACCCAATTTCTGCTTTGACATTGGGATATTCAAAGGGCTACTCAAGTAGGTGGTTATTAATATTTTCCTGAGATTTATATGGTAATTAAGCTGTGTACTTATTAATATTAATGTTACTTATTTAGCTTATTTAGATTTCGTATACTGCAAAATCACGTTCGTTTTCCAGCCGTTAGAGGAATTAGTGTAAGTACTATAAGTTACCTTATAACATTAATTGAGTAGGTACGCAAGGGTAAGTGACTAAATCAAAGTTCCCAACTGTATAATAGAATATAGCTATGTGGTTCTTTATTTTTATAAGTATAGTCAACCTATTATAGTGCAATTTTATTGTTCAAAAATTGATCGTGGTTTCATTCAAAGTCTATTGTCCAATAGCTCATCTCAGGTGGGTATCTTTTGATTTAATCATATATAAGTAATTGTTTACTATATACTGTATTGCAGGGAATAGTAATTGTAAAATATCTGGTGTAAATTCCCAAGAAAGTTATCGTTTGTTTTTATTGAGGAGAAGTCACCCTAATATATTGTTCTTTTTCTCACTTGTATACAGGTAAGTACTTAAGTTTGTTTAATTTTCAGATTTAGTATGTTATGAGTGTTTCGTAACGATCAATATTGGCTAGCAAGCGGTTATGGGAATTACAAATAAACAAGTATTTATGTACATGTCATTGTCATGACATAAAGTTGATGTTTCCATTAATTAAGAGGAAGGATTGCAGGGAAGAAGAATTATATTGCTAGAAGGTGTGTTAGCGTTATAGGAAGAAAAAATTATACCATGGAGAAGGTAATGAGTATAAAGAAAGATCTATCATCTTCAAACAGCTAAGAATAACCTATTATAGGTACCTGGCTTTACTTGTGAGAATTTTGGTGCGTAAAAGCTTTCGCTTAATATGAGGCAACAAGAGGTTGTAAACCAAACATTTTTTTTTTTTTTTTTTTTTTTTTTGTTCTATTCAAATAACATCCGCATCCTATAGATGCCAAAAAAGAGAATTTAAACAACACAGAATTAGCCAAGAAATTCACCAACGATGTCGTCGGGTAAGTGAATTATGATGCTGAGTTAATATAATTTGTCAAAGAACGAACTATTTTTAGCTACGATAATAAAGCAGATGTCAATGCTCTTGGGTGAGTAAGGGGTATGGGAAAAATAGGATCCAATAGTAGCATAAGGGTAGGTCTAGTGGGAGAAGTACGTTATGTCTGATTACCTATCCTACGTAATATGTAATTTTGTAGGCTGAGATGAGTTCAAGTTTCTGGGAATTTTTTACCACCATGAGAAAAAAGAACCTTATGGAAAATAACAAGGAACATAAATGTAATATACAGTTGTTCCGTGACAAAACAGTCCATCTAGGAAATATGGAAAATCTAAGGTAGAGGGTCTTAGGAAAATAACTATATATGTATGGAAGTGTAAAAATAATTGGATATTTTCCAGTCTGTATATGCGAAAGCGTATTAAGGGAATACTGCACCAACAATAAGATAGAACTCCCAGAAATGACGGTGAAGAATGGTTATATAAGCTTAAGAGTCTCCCTCAAAGAAAGGCATTGTTAGTATTAAATGTTAGGTGAATATTATGGGAGATAAGGATATTTAATAGAATCAATTAAGACTATGAGATCCACTACATTAGCGGTAAAGCTAGGATGGGATTATAGAAGTTGGTCTGGTGTTCCAATAAGGATTTGATGAGTGTAGTGGAGCTAAAGAGCTAGATGTAGGTTATTATTATTCAATTAAGTATAGTAGGGTTATGATTACTAATGTAGTATTTAAAGGAAGGAAAGTTGTCTTATGGAATGGTAACTTTGGAAGAGCTATTATGCCTAGGATCAACAAGTACTAGTGGAGAGAGTGTTAACAAGAAAAACGATGTAAATCATTCAGCTGATCCGTGGTATTAAAACAGTGTATTACTCACTAGGTTGTTTTTATAGGAAGGCCGTACATGTAGGAAACGTGAAGCTACTGACGAAAAACCAAGGGAAACAGTGTCTCCAAAAGTGCCACGAGTTATAGAAAACGAAAATGGTGATACATGAGGAAGAAAATATGATTTGAAATCGTAGATTGTTGGAATGTTTTAAGTGAAACTAATTATTGTTGAATTTTAGTTTAACTAATAAAACGTTGTTGCAATTCTGTAATAAAATGAAGTAAAAGGAAAGTATGAAGGAGTGAATAGAAAACGTCACTGACGTTAGAAGGACCACTGGTCTAAAGAACACCACTGGTGTCTGAGGTTATAATACCTATAAGGGTTATACCCGTTTGACGGAAATGAAGCACCCCCAGCCACGGGTTGCCCTCAGGGGTTAGAGCTCCAGCTATGTCCAATTAAATGTAAAAGGAGGAGTTATAGTAAGCAGGTAGGTATTAAGAGAGGAGGTGGTTCGTTTCGCCTCTACTCAGACGAACCACTATATTCAGTCTGTCCCTGAGGCTCATCAGTGAGTTAGGAACAGACCGAATGAGTATGTATGTGATATAGAGTAGAAAGTAAATAAAATGTTAGAGAATGAAGTCAGTGCATCAGACACGTAGTGTGGATGTCTAATACTTAGGCCATGGTTGCAACAAATATGGTAACTAGTGGCGGGAAACCGATACGCAGTGATGCAAATACGCCGCTAATACTAGAGCGCGATAATATACCAGTAAGCATTAGATATCAGTTTATAATTCTATAAAGGTGATTAAGTGGTTAGTAATGTATTTGCCAAGACATGTAAGTATAGTAAGTAGTATCAAGTACCTTCAAGTAGTATAGACCTACAGTGAATATATCGGTGGAGTTGTAGTTAAGACAAATTTCTGAAAAGCCAATTAATATATTTACTAACATTTGTTGTGTAGTATACTTATGATAAGCTTACTTACGTTTTTATAGTTACTTGCTACCGAGTATTTATAACAAATAAACTTATTTCTGTACATACATTTAATTACATTACATATTATAAACTCCTTTTTATAGCCATTACTGACAAGTATCTTACACATATCCTTAATTTTTTACAATGTAGGAGTTAAGTCTGTACAGGTGTTGGCAATTGGCAATCACTTCTTGGAACCAAAGTTTCGTGCTGCGTCGGGTGCTATGATTCGTGACACACACGCACATAAGCACTTACACATAAACACACACACATACACACATAAATACAGAGCGGTTTTTACACAGTGTCCCTCTCCCTCTAAGTACAAAACACTGGAGTTTGGCATAATCGGTTTTCTTAATGGAATCATCGCTTACCTGCCTATGAAGGGATCATGAAATCCTAATGAGAAGTGCTTGAATCGGTAAAAGTGTCGTTCAGGCATTATTTACCAGCAGTACATTAAAGGCGATAACTGAAATTTGTTTGCACCCATTACCAATCACACTTATCGTGGGTATCATCCTGATTAAGAAATTACTGGATTTCCGAAGACGGACAGACATAGCAAACTCCATACAGTGGATCTTATCATCTTGAGCATGGCATCCTACGCAGTGGGAGGATGACATCATCACCCCTCCCCACCTGATGGCGGACATGATTTGTGGAGGTATCTAGAACCGTCAAAGGAAGTTGCTCCTCTCTGGTGGTCATGTCATCATGTTATGGAATCGTATCAATTTTCAGTAACAGTCAGCAATTATTGGTTGTCCGGGGAGTTCTCAGCGTTTTGTGTTATTATTATTTGTGCCATAAAAATTCGTTGTGCCATTTTGTTTTTCAGAGGTTTTAAAGAAAAACTCAGCAAAGTTGTCTTACCGTCCATGATTAGTAATCTCCATATAATTCTCCATGCATAACCTTTACCAGCCTTTTCGCAACGATCGGGTAGGGAGGCAACTCCATCCTCCCAAAAGCCGGCCGGCCGCGACTCGACCCATTCCTCGACCACGTCCTCGAGGTCGCGCTCGTTCTTCAGCTGTTTTCCGTCCAAGAAATTTTGCATGGACCGGAAGATGTGGTAATCGCATGGACTGATGTCCGGGCTATACGGTGGATGCATTACCGTCTTGATGCCCAGCCTGTCCAGGACGGCCTGAGACTCTTCGTTTGGGGGCGCCGCGTTGTCCAAAGCAACCACGGATTTGCAAAGTCTTCTGCGACAAGGCGGCAGCTGTTCATCCGGTGTGACCCTCCTGCAATTCTTTAGAGAGGGTCTCTGCCGTCACTGTGGCATTGTTGGGTAGGATGCTGTAGTGGACGACGCCGTGGCGAGAGAACCAGAAACCTCGGCATATCTTCGATGCCATAGTTTTCATTGGTGAGGCGAGTCCACCATTTTGACATCCAGTTCTTAGAAGGGGGCTTTAGTCCAAACTCGACGCTCGACCTGGTTGTGGCCTGACGTCTGGAGATGCCCAGGTTGTAGTAGTCCAGCAAACATCGGCGGTGGTGGTGACTATCACTCATCTTCACTGCTTTATTGTGGGAAGAGCAGGAAAGGAAATTTAGAGCTAGCTAGCTCAGAAGATAGCCCATCGCGAGTACTTTCAGTATTGCGAAATCTTTATGCAAAATCACAACGCGTTGCGTAACGCGACGCTTACAAATGGCCAACGAACTTTGTGGACACCCTAATATTTTTTTACAGTATTTGCTAGATTGGATAAACTTTCATTCTCCTTTGGCGTCTCGAGTTAGCACATCCCAAGCAGAAAATTTTCGCATATCTGATGGCATAACTACCGCCCCCTTTTCCCAAGACTTTTTTGAAGCATGCAAAAGAAGCAAACTTCGGACTATATTTTCTTCAACTACATATTGAACTGTAATCCGCAGTAGAGACAGCTCACAAATTGATCAGGTGTGGGGCTACCAGTTGTTGCTGAAAATCACTTGCGGACATATGGTTCGACATAATTCGTTCTGGGGATGTCAGCCTAATAGGGATACCTTCATAGCGCTCGTTCACCTAAGCAATTCTGCGTTAGGTTTTGGAGAATTTTGAGTCGAATCCATCCCAAATAAGTTTCGCGGAGATTGCAGAAAAGCTAGGCGTTGGCAAATCCACTGTTGCGGATGGTCTGAAACGCATCGGGAAGGTGAAAAAACTCGACAATGGGTGCCTCACAATTCGAGTGATCGACAGAAATTGGCACGGGAGGTTTCTTCCCACTGCTTTTGCGCACAGAAACGATCCGTTTTTGGACCGGATTGTCACCTGTCATGAAAAGTGAATCATCCTAGTATTATAATCCGCTAAGTTGTCTGTTGGCTGATGTGTGATGTGAATGATTGTGATATTTGTCTTCTCGTCTTTGTGTGTTGACCGGAAATTCATAACTTTCTTCAAAACAACGATAATGCGCTCAAACTGACAGATGTTGTAGGAGGTCGGGCAGGAACATTATTGGTGGGGGCAGGAAGCGATAGCAGTTGATAAGATACCATGAGGGGCCGTATAAAGGCGAAGTCAGCAAATTCATAACGCGCGTCACAGCAAGACTAGAGCGTTGGTTCCATGAAGTAAGGTAGGAGGCAGGACGGGAACATTATTGCTGGGTGGCAGGAAGTGATAAGAGCTGATAAGATACCACAAGGGCCTTGAAAAGAGTGAGCTACCTAATTCATAACACCGGCCACAGCAGCGATGAGACGTTGATTTCAAGAAGTTAGATAGGGGGCAGGATGGGAACATTATTGGTGGGTGACAGGAAGTGATAACAGCTGATAAGATACCACAAGGGGCCTTAAAAAGGAAGGGCTCACTCATTCCAAGCGCGGCGCCGGCAGCTACGACGAGATGTGGGTTTCTAAGTAAGTTAGATAGGGGCGTAAACGGGAACAGTTATTGTTTGGGACAGAAATGATGACAGCTGATAAGATACCACAAGGGGCCTAAAGAAGTGCCAAGGGTGCCGCACGACAATAAGTGGGTCCGAATAGATAGGCGGAGCACTAGGTGGGAACATATGGCTGTCAGGTAGCGGGCAGCGATGAACACTTGGGGTAGAAATGACAGACTGATAAGATACGATCAAGGGCGGCTTAAAAAGGAAGGGTCCCAGTTCATAGCGCGGACCGCAGCTTACAGAGCTGGATGTGTTGTTCCAAGAATTTAGAAAGTTGAGAGCAGAGGATGGGTAACATGTTCGAGTGAAAATGCATTGACGTGATAACAGCTGATAAGCTGTTATTATCACGTCCTGCCACCCACCAACTGATAAACTTCAGCACCGGTGCCCAAGGAACAATGGTTAGAGGCTTCGTGAGTCAAGTATTCTATCCCTTAGCGATATGGTTACGACCGCTAAGCTCTCGAGTTTCGACGAAAATTAAAAGCCCTGGAAGCTGGTCTGAACGGAGCAGTACTATGGATTGTATAGAAATCATGAGGATATATCACCATTAATATCGATGTTATTACCATCAAAAGTCTTTCAACCGCTAAGCTGTCCTATTTCCAACGGATGGTGAGTGTTTCTTAGAAATGTGATAAGCACCATCAGACATTAGCAAACGTTCATTAAATAGGAGAATCATAATGAAATAGGCCGTATTCTGAAAAATTGTAATCGGGCGAAGTGTTCGGGGTCAATACAGGAATCCTGTCAGCGCAGTACCATTAGGTTCAACCATACGCGCAGTAGTGCGCGTCAGCCCAAGCTTGTGTGTATATAACAGGAGACGTTCCGGACAGTGGTTGGATGCCGACGAACCACCGAGGCAATTTCCAAAGCCGAATCCTCACGAAAAAAGATTATGGTCACAGTGTGGTGGTCATCGGCTGGTGTGATCCACTATAACTTTTTGTCACCAGGCCAAACCATCACAGCAGAGAGGCGATACCGGAAGACATCGCGAAATAACTGAAAAATTGGTTCAAGCTGCAGCCAGCGCTTGTCAACAGAGAGGGTCCGACTCTTTTGCATAACATCGCCGGCCCACACGTTTCACAAATC